CCTGCCCTCCCAGGGGGTCGGGAGCCCCTGCTCGCCCGGGAGCTTGCACTGTGCAGTGTGGGGAACCCGTGCGAGGTGAACGCGAGCGGGGGTAGCGCTTCACTCCCTGGAGACCAGAGCTTTCATCCTGGTGACTCCCTGCTTTCGGTAAAATACCGTTGTTGAAATTAACCGAACCGCATCCTTAGAGGAACAATGTACAAATGAGATCCTTTCTCAACATCATGTTCTGAAAAATAGGTTTTTTTGTCCATTAGATGGTAACTAGAATGTGCAAGCATTATTATTATTTTTTTAAATATATTTTTATTGATTTTTTACAGAGAGGAAGGGAGAGGGATAGAGAGTTAGAAACATCAATGAGAGAGAAACATTGATCAGCTGCCTCTTGCACACCCCCTACTGGGGATGTGCCCGCAACCAAGGTACATGCCCTTGACCAGAGTCGAACCTGGGACCTTCCAGTCCGCAGACCAACACTATCCACTGAGCCAAACCGGTCAGGGCAACAAGCATTATTATTTTTAAAAATTATTTTTATTGATTTCAGAGGAAGAGATAGAAACATCGATGATGAGAGAGAATCATTGATCGGCTGCGTCCTGCAGGCCCCTGCCAGGGATTGAGCCTGCCACCTGGGCATGCGCCCAACCAGGAATGGAACCCTGACCTCCTGGCTCATAGGTGGACGCTCAGCCACTGAGCACACTGGTAGGGCGGTGCAGGCATTATTTTACAGGCCCTTTGGTGGTCCACGGACAGGACCGTGGAAAACACCTTGTGATGACTCTGGGATCAACTACAGCCCGATGGTGATTGTGGAACAACTGACCTCATCCCCAAGCCCTGCACCCCTCCAATGCCCCCTGTATGCTCCATCCACAAAACCTAAAGGGAGATGGACTCTCTTCTGCTCAACTCCTGTGTGCTGGCTCTTTTCAGTAAACTCGATGGATTGATGTAGTTCAGTGCTTACTTCTATGACTTTGAGACTCAAGAACCTGGCATTCAAGTTCCGGGAACACTAGGAAGAGCCTAGGAGCATTGAAGCCCACTGGTGCTATGGGTAGTGGAGAAGGATCCTGAAAGAAAGTTACTGATGATTGAGCGGGTTAGGGGAGCTCTGACAATGCGTGGCATTTCAGAAGGAAGAAAATGCCGGAAGAAGGTCAAGGGAAACTCCTTATTAGGTTGCTCTCTGAGCCATGGGGATATTAAAAAATGGAGACCAGCCTGGCTGGTGCAGCTCAGTGGTTGAGCATAGACCTATGAACCAGGAGGTCAGGGCACATGCCTGGGTTTCGGGCTTGATCCTCAGTAGGGGGTGTGCAGGAGGCAACCAACCAATCAATACTTTTCTCTCATCACTGATGTTTCTATCCCTCCCGCTCCCTTCCTCTCTGAAATTAATAAAAATATATTTTAAAAATAGTCTTAAAAACAGAGACCAAGGTATATAGCTCAACTCTGGAGCTGTCACTACTGAAGTAAAACCTGACATGGCCCCTCATTACTTATCAAATAAAGGCCTAAGTTTCTCATCTAATATTGACAATATTCACAGGCCTAACTTGTTAATTTATCATTTATCCATGCCTATCATATTCTAAAATGTGTAGCCACGATTCTCTGTTCCCTGTGACCCCATGCTTTGTCATGTATCTCTAGATTCCTTCAACAAGAGGTGGAGGCGGAAACTCTTTGCTGGCTTTTTGTGAATTTTTATAAAATCAATCAAATTCATTGAATTTCTAGTCCTAGTTCCAAGACATCTAGTGTTAAACCTCAAGACACCTGGCATGCTTCTGCTCATTTTCTCGGAAGACTGTCCAAGCTGATTTCTGTCCCCACTTCAGAGCTGGAGTCCTGAGACTTCCCTTCCTGACCATCCTGGCAGTTCCCATTGCCTTTCCCCTTGTTGGATGTTGTGTCCTGGATACAATGTTTTTGTTTTTCTCTTGGTTTATACTCTGCCGGAGCATTCGTCCCACAGGAGCTTCTGGTAAAGGGCTGTAACTTTACTATGTCTTCAATTTTGAGATGGTCTGAAGGTCATCTTACTGGTCCCCCAACAGTCTTCCTTAGCTTTCTGCTTTTTCTAATGCTGATGTTGATTGCCACTCATTCTCCTTTTTAAGTTGCAAAATTTGGTTACATCTCTTATTTGCTGTTGTCTTCTATCTCATTCTTCTTTTTAAAATCATGATCTGTTTACGCATATTTGATTTCTTTCCTGTCGTGTTAGTGGGGTTTCAGAAGGGAGCAGCTAGCAGCGCATGTCACATCAACCAGAAAACTCTTGTCACATTTTTAGTTACCATAATTCTGGAATGACTAATACAGCATTTATATGGTGAAGAACAGAGGGGAAAAAAAGTTGTGCAAGAGGCATTAAATTTCTGCTGCCACATGGAGATCATGCTTTCCTCACTTAGCATCACTAAACAAAATGGACACTAGATGGCTCTATGAAAGCATCTATATTCTGAACAAGCCCTTTAGTTCAAGAATGTGAAGCCATCATAATGCCTTTTATAACAA